TTATATACAATTTGACATTACGTTTATTGTTTTATACAATGACATGATCACCTATTGTGACATTTTTATTTTTTATTTGAATTTTTTTTTTATTTATTTATTGACATTTTTATTATTTTATATTATTGTTAGTGTAAGGACCGTGTGAGACTTGCCGTGCTTTTTGATTACCAGTTATCTGCGTTCTGACACTTGGAGTACTTGCGCGACCCACCCAAATGTTCTTTTGATCGGTATTGTTCGTCGGACAACTCAGCAGCACTAGCTATACTGGTTGCAAACTGACACTTGCGTGCCTGTCTTTAGAACGGGTCCACTTAAACTGGTGTGGTTCTTTCCTCAAAAGACCACTACAGAATGAACTTGCGCGGTTCTCTCACATTATGTTATTTTACATTGTCTGGACTTGAAAAGAGACTGACCTCTGAGTTTGTTTCGGCATTTCTTCTCAGAGTAGTCAGATAGGAAATGCCGGCTTCATCTAGTTTTTCACATATAATTTGACGTGTAAAAGTGCCGTTTTATGGCCTATTTGCAAAAATAAATTCATTGTTTCATTGTTTCATAGTGTCCAGAAATTAATCCGGTTCATCAATAGTAAGGGCTCAATATTGGCTGGACCTTGTTTCAGCATCCAAACAAAGACTTTACTGTTTAATAGATGTTGTAAATATCTTCAATCATTTCATGTATTAAAAATACCGCATCAAAATATGTTGCGCAGTTTTAAAATTTAAGAGGTTGTTAATAGCTGCTCCAGCTACTCCATCTTTTGCAACCGATGTCTTAAAATATCAAGTCAGCCTTTATTTAGTTTTAGATTGGCAAAAGTGCATAAGTAATTCCTGGGATTTTGTGTTAAATGTTATAACATACTAGATAATAATGCTTGGAAGCTAGCTGGTCTTAATCCACAGGATGTTAAGAGGAATTTTTGATTTCAATCATTAAATTGTACACCATGTTGTTAATTGTTGATAAATTTCAAAGTTTTTGTAAATGTGAGTGGCCTGTAACCTATAATTAAGTTAGACTTCTAGAATACTCATAGGTACTTGCGTCAGCTGGGAGTTGTCACGCTCACTCAGAGGTCTCACTGGTGGTGGCACGGGCACTGGATCGCTTGATTTCCTTTAATATGGTTGAGTTGGGCGGTGCTTGTGTAACTTATCATGTTCGTGAATGGACGCTGCCTATTGGGAGTGGTCATTTCCGGGCTGGCTAAATATGTTGTCCTTGAGGTTAACATCGTTTTCGGATTCTTTGCCTAAATATTAGTTTTACACTGTTCTCACATATCAGAATCGACTAAATGATGTAATAAAGAAATGAATTGTAAAACTGATTAAAAAAGAGTAACCATGAAGTTTCTTGCTCGTTCTTCTCCATAGGAATGTTCACTTTGGAACGAGCAAATAGCTTCACTAAAGTACAGACGGACAGACTAACACGCTTTAAGCTCTTAAAATACTTTTTATGCTTTTTTTTGTGAGGGGAAAATCATCAAATGACTTCTCCCGCCCAGGGCCGGGCGGGAGGGAGTGTCAGACTCTTCTGACTAAAAACCCCCTGTTCCTTCTCCTGCTCTGGGCTGAGGTCGCGGTGCCTCATTGCGCTTACCCCGCAACCCCGGCTGAACATTAGCCCTTTAGGGCCCCGTCTGTGGCGGTCTATTAACTCTTTGAGGCGCGCGCGGAACGCTACGCGCCGTACGCTTGGGCCTGGTTCTGGTCGGGCGGCGAGCTGTCCTTACTCGCCGACTGCTTCACAGAAGGAGGAGACAGCGTCCCAGTTCTTCTTACTCCGCACCATGGCCTCGACTAAGGCCGGGCGCGAGAGGTCGCCGCCGCCGATCACTTCCCTGAGGACACGGCGGTGCTCAGCCCAGGCAGGGCATACCGCTACCGTATGCTCCACCGTATCCTCTAGGTGCTCCTCACAATGACGACACTCGGGCGTTTCCTCCCGCTGGATCCGAAACAGGAACCTACCGAAGCTGCCGTGCCCGGTAAGCACCTGCGTCAGGCGGAAGGTGAGGACGCCGTGGCGTCTCTCAAGCCACTCTCTCAAGCCACTCCTCAAAGAGAGGTCTTACCGCTGCTATAGTAGCGTGCCCGGCCCTCGGTTGCGACAGTCGCTGCTTCCACTCAGCCATGAGATCTCGCCGGAGCTCATTCCGCCACGCACTAATTTGGCGCGGCAGAGGATCTCCGCCCCGGCGACGCACGTCTGCGCGCAAACTGTAGATGCGCGCGAGCGCCTTCGCTTCCAGATCCCGCGGTGGTCATCCGGCAAGGATGTTCGCCGCCTCACCGGAGATCGTGCGATATCCGCGGATTATCCGGATAGCCATGACCCTCTGGGATGCGACCAGCGTACGACCTGGCCGCCGCCTCAAGTCCGGCGCCCACACAGGGGCCCCGTAGAGGGCCATGGATCGCACAATCCCCTTATACAACCTCCAGCAGGAGGCGTTTGGCCCCCCGAGCTTGGGAAGGAGCCGCTTGAGCGCGGCCCCAGACCGTTCCAACTTAGGAGCCAAACGACGAAAATTCTCCGTGAAGTTCCATCGGCTGTCGAGGACGAGACCCAGGTACTTCGTCGCCGCCTGATGTGACCTCCCATTCGCCAGCACCAGCGTGTCGTCAGAATAACAAACAACGCTGACGCCGCTCGGGAAAATACTTTTTATGCTTGACGTTCAAAAGTGCCTACTGTCGTCTAATTGAAATAAATGATTTTGACTTTTTTTTTTGAATAACCATAAATATTATAAACATGGAAATTATCAGAACGATTTGAATAAGACTTGGTGTTCATGCGCAGTATATTAAACTAGAATTAGTTAACATATTGAGTTTGGGCTCATTAATGTATGTATTTTTGCACGTAACTAAAACCGAGTTTACAGTTCTTTCACTATGATATTTTTGGAAGTAAATTAATTTATTTATTTCTTTTGATTACAGGTAAGTTCCTGATAACCAGTATTGGTATGTTGTGATCATATAGGAGCACGAACATATTGAAATAATTTTATGAAAATTGCAACAAAACTATTTAATTAAAACATTCAATTTTGAAATACCTTCTTTCATGAGTTCTGTTTTCTATTAAGCAGGCGATTATGGTAATCTGACGCACCCGAATTACTTCCAAAACCTCAGAATTTAAAGCGGCGATTAGACGGCACGATTTATTGGGTCTTAAGGTCAGGGCGGTCGAGCACCCTCGATCGCCCAAAGTAGAGACGCTAACAGCCTAACAGCGGTCATACCGCCCGGTCTATTGGAACTTAGAGAGTAAGGGTGGTCGTACACTTTCGATCGACCGTAACTGGTCGCTTATTTAAACCACGTGTAGGAGTGGACCTTCTGTAACTGATTATGATAATGAAGATATAGTTTCTGTCTACATAGTAGGTATAGTATATAATTATCTAAATGTATTATTCATGCACATTTCCAAACTTTACAGACATCACTACATAGTATAAAACAAAGACGCTTTCTCTGTCCCTATGTCCCTTTGTATGCTTAAATCTTTAAAACTACGTAACGGATTTTGATGCGGTTTTTTAATAGATAGAGTAATTCATGAGGAAGATTTATATGTATAATAACATCCATTAAATAGTGGAGAAATACTGTTATTTTTGAGTTTCTAATATGATGTCGAAAATAATTAAATTTTTTCCGATTACATTGCAAACGCAGGCTGAAAACTACGATTTTTATCAATATAATGTACTAAGTATTGTACACATTGAAAAAGTCTACAGAAAAGTCCGCGATGGTATATGTCGATCTCTTATGGATAACCCACAATAACATTTTTTTGTCATTTACTTTTTACGACAAATAATGGCTAATTTTCGAAATGATTTTAACCAATACAGCATTAATCCTTGACCAATAAAATACCTTGAATACATTCATTTAATATAGATCTTTACACCGTATGATTTAAGTGAATATTTTCAAAGATATTACAGATTTAAATATTGCGGGACGTAGCGTTTGCGGCGGTACTGGCCGGCCGCCCGGTGCGGCAAGAGCGTGCCTATAAATATATGATAGAGTTCCATGTTACTGGCAATGATATTATATTAACACAGATATGTTATACCCTCACAAAACGTGTTCCGCGCCAAGCGTGAGCACGTACTCACTCAACGTAAACAAAAATTGTTCTAAGAGAGACTAATTGCACTTGCATACAATTGTATCCTTTTCGAGTCTTCACTTTTGCGCGCTTATAAATAACATATCTGTTAATATATAATAACATTGGTTACCGGATACATGGACCCAGAGTTCTAGAACTTTTCAACGACGAAAACAAGGTACTGCGGTTGATGGTTTCCCTGGAGTAACAAAAAGGGATGGTCTTGGCAGAGTCTACGTGGTTAACTTTGCAATGGTATGCGTCAGATACCTTCGGATTTACCCTCCCAATTTAAATGTTTACAGTTTCCGGTAAAGACATCTTTTGCAATGACCATTAATAAATCCATGGTCAAACCTTCAACGTTGCAGGCTTAGATTTGAGGGTTGACTGTTTTTCACATGGACAATTGTATGTGGCTCTCTCAAGAATGACCTCCAGAGAAAACATGTTTGTATTGTCTAATGACAAGAAAGCTGTGAACGTTGTTTATAAAGACATTCTGAAATCGTTTGTTTAAATAAAATAAATAGTTAAAAATGTAAAAAGAGTATATAAGTAAAATTTTGTGTATAAATTTAGATATTCCAAAGAAAGCAGGAAACAGGAATTCTTCATGGTAAGTATAGGGAAAGTGGGATTGTTTTACTCCAAATTTAACGAGCCACGGGCAGTAATGAATAAATCAAAACTACTAAATCGATTTTAATCATATAGGCTATATATTTTAAACCCGTGCGAAGCCGGAGCGGGCTGCTTTGTTTTTAAATATAACGTTCACAGTTTTTCTGTAGTGTATTTATTTACCTAATATAAAATAATTAAAAAAGAGATCGGATTATCAATATTATTTATTTAAGCATTTAAGATTTATTTGAGGTTGACAATATTCAAGCAGAGTAAGAGTATTCATGAGGAGTGCAACAATATTTATTTATGAACGAGCATCAGTTGTATGATCATTTCCACCTGTATGTTTGAATAGTTGTATTCAAACCTTCACCGACACGAGATTTCAAAGTTATTTCTATGTAATTCTTCCCCAGTGGAGAACGAACTATCTCAGGAAGGTGACTGAAATGAGCAGTTATAGAGATCATACTGATTTTGACCCCGCTCTCAGCTCGATACACCTTGGTGAGGCTCTGTTCTTGGCCTTCGACAGCCGGCACGGAATCTTTCGATCTGAAAATTTTAATCCAATGTTAGTTTATAAAACAACGAGTCTTTGTTCTTTGCCCAAAAGTTGCACATGTACTCAGTGTTTTAACAGAAAGGGAAATAATTTAAGAAATTGATTCAACTACCTCTTATTACCGATGGTGATTCCTTACCACCCAAGTTTATAACAATGAAAACTGTATGCGCGGCAAGCAATGAAAGATCTATTAAGTCTTAATTTATTTTGTTACATAGAAGTTAAGTAGATACTCACTCAGACAGTAGTACAAAGTGCTCATATCTGGCATTAAAGTCAGCTCTGGATAGAACTATTCCGTTGGGTGACTTGTCGTCGAATACTATGGTGACTTGAGACATCTCCTCCTCGCTCGGGAGGACAGCGGCATCATAGGCTGTGAGTGCTGACAGCACTACAATGATCATGAAGCTCTTCATCTACAACAATACGGCGACAGATCAGACGAAGAAGAGAGAGAATATTTGGAAGCAATTAATTTTTTTATTAAATTAGGAACATTAATGTGACAACATTTAATGTAGAAAAATACTGAATAAAAATGATCGTAAATCCAAACTCAAAGTTACCAATTATTTCAGCCATGTCACTATTTTTGTATCACTCACCTTTATTTCTTTATTTTCTCTTCAACCTTAAGAACGTATAACTCACAGCAGAGTGTGTGTAATGTGCTTGTAAGTTGTGTCTCCGACTGTTATATAGCAAGTTCCTTGATAAGATACATGAGCAGATGTTACCATATCTTTAGGAAAACTGTGTTCATTCTGATTTTAATCGATTAAAGATTATAAGTTATTAGTAGATAGTAATGATGTACCAAAATCTAATTATTTATATTTTATCTATGCTTATAATCAATCTGTAGAGAGTTCAATCCTGTACATTAAATATATTTTCAAAATAACTACTAGGGGGTGATAAGTGAACGATACTGATGCCAAAAATGCAATAAGTAAAATTTTTGTATGTCTGTATGTGTTCCATATAGAAACAAAAACTACTCAACGGATTTTAACAAAACTTGGTACAATTATTCTTTATACTCCTGGGCAGATTATAGGATACTTTACATCACGCTACAAATAATAGAGCAGAGCAGTGCAGGAAAATGTTGGGAAAACGGGAGAAGTTACTCCCTTTTGCAAGTTTCCGTCGCGTGTGTAACCTTAATGGTTAAAGTTTAGTTCAGTATTTACCCATTGGAGATGTACCCATAAAAGTGAGACGATTAATAACAAATTTTATGAATACTTCGATTTTGTTCTATTGCTATAGGCTGCTTTTTATCAACACAGCACGCGGGCGTTGCCACTGGCGGAAGCTAGTAACATGACATAATAAGTATATAAGCGAGCATGCATTTTAAAAATGGTTAATAATTACTTTAAAAAAATTTACCTTTATTTAGTGAGGTACTTGAACAAGTTTTTGGTCATTTTTCTTGCTATTTTGTGCTATTTTAACTAAGCAAGTAAATAAAGTTTGACGTTGAGTAGTAACTAGATTTGGAAATATTAGTACTTTATACGAAGCGAAATATATTTTATCGAGTCTGATAGTCAGATTCTTTCTTTTTTATTTTCACATCCATCCGTGTGAGAGGTGGCTTTTTCTCAGATGTGATATTTACAAAAGCTAAAAATGGAAATATGTAGTGATCATTGAAGGAACCGTTGCTTTAGAGTTGACTATGGTTTTCTGCCAGCAGTTGAAGACTAAGCGCAGACCGTCACCATGTTATCCCGAGCTCAGAGCATAGTCGAAATTGGCATGGTATAGCTGGTCGCTATGCTCTTTCTATGCTTCTCATTTCAGCCACATTGGCACTAGTAGGCCCGATCTGTGGTGGTCTGAGGGAGCTGTTTCTCATTCTAATAGGCATTTGGTAACTTACAATTTGTGAAATGGAATCTTTCAAAAAAGCATTCATTTTTTGACAATTGGGTTAAAATTTTCTACACATATTTTAAATGCTAAGCTGTATGATTTTAGTAGAAATCCACAAAAATGACTGATAAAATTTGCCGTGTTGATTAAAAGTTTTTATTTTGTCTGTACTTCTTTACGATTCGGGTGTTATTGGGTTGTAGTGGTTTTTATAAGTTAACCTTGCCAGAGGCGGCGTAAGGTGTGCGCGACGTGGACCATCGCCTACGGCGTCGCGGTACAAGGGGGCCTCGCGCCTCAAGAATATCGCCTCCAGGTCGCTGCAGAAAAGGGCCTCGCAAAACCTGTCTTTCCCACATTAAAATTAGGTCTCGCCCCGCCACTGGCTATTGCCTAGACATTCGCTAAACGAGTGGCCATCCGCATCAGGACAAGACCTATGGTATAACACTCCCTTGATTTTGAACACTTTCTACCAGCTTACCTTTGTGTGCATAAATATCCTATTTAACCAATCTTCAATTTAATCTTTTCACTACGTTTTTAGTTACAGAGTCTTCGAAGCTATCAGTCACTAGAGATTTGGCAATTGATATGCGAAAATAATTACTGATTAGCGTTTATTTGTATATCAATAAATGGTGTGATTTCCTTATGAATGTTTTATCAGTGATTACAAAGTCCAACTTTGTTAAATTACTGGGAAAACTGTTTAAAAATAGGTATTACAGGCATTATTGTATTATCTTTCTATATTTAGTAATTATAACCTAGTGAATGAATGGAACGTGATGAACAATGTCTTATCAGATATTATTATAACTACTATATACCAAAGTTCATTACCGTGTATGTGTGCCTACGCTCGGATCTTTTACGCAACAGATTTAGTATGGAACGCGACATGGACCATTTGACGTTGATTATTCTTTAATCATTTAATTGTAAGTAAGTTGAGTATCTGTAGTGGTGGCCCAAAGGTTAAGGCTTCTCATGCATAAGGGTGCGGGTTCGAAACCTGGAAAGTACCAATGTGACTTTTTCCGAGTTATATGCAGTTTCTATGATAATTTAGACATCACCGACAAACGCCTTAAGCAAGCGTGGTGATTAATGCTTAAACCTGCTCCGTGTGAGAAGAGGCCTTTGCTCAGCAGTGAGCATTTATGGTCTGATGATGTAAGTCGAAAATAATATAAATGGAATGAATATAAAGTACTTAATGTCACCGGCACTCTCATCTCTGCATCATCAAATGGTTGATTATTGCCCAAAACATTCAGTCTGCCTGTACATATATTTTTGTATTAAGAGTTGAAATAAATTTAAAAATACCCCTCTCGGACAGCGTTCAGCGATGAGCCAATCGAATCGTTGTCTACCCTGATGTTTCAATCCGGCTGGTCCCTTTGACATTGCGTAGGGATGTAGCCTCGCTATGTGTTCTTTATCGCCTGTGCCAAGTGCTCCGAAAAATTGTTCGCAAAAGGAATTGATCACACGCGAAAGCATTATCTTTCCCATTACAAAGGTAGTTGGAAGTCAACAACTGTGCGATTTTCGTGAAACTTTCTATTTCTCACAGCAAAATATTGGAATCATCTTACGGCGGTGGTATTTCCGAATCGATACGATCATCAAACCTTCAAGAAACGTGCATAACTCATTAAACACCTTTTTAAAAGGCTGGCAATGCGTCTGTGGCTCCTCTGGTATTGTTGGTATCCAAGGGCAGCACAGATCATACCATCCACCTGATCCGTCTATACGTTTGCCTCCTATTTCACAAAAAAGGATACACGTCGGCAGACTGCAAGCAAGACATTTTAAAAAATGTGCTTTAGTGAATTTTAATTTCTGAGGTGTTATTGGTGCCATGTAAGTGACCCGTTTGCTTATTTGTCCCATGCCGCAGAACAAGAATATCTTGAAAATATCAGACACAGAAATAGTGCTTCCACAGTTTCATGTCTATCTCGAACGAACAGCACTGTTATCTAGTAAATCGATCACCCATTAATATCACCATCCTTTATTAGGTACTAGCCGCTCGCCCCTGCTTCGCATGGATATCCAACCGGTTGCAATATCCCGATTTCCCCCTCTTCTTTTCTAGAATTATCTTTCAGAAGAACCTTCCCCTGACTATAATAAACACTACAAAAAAAAAAATTGGCAAAATTGGTCCAGGCGTTTTTGAATTTTGTGCTTACCAACTTATTTTGCGATTCATTTTTATATTATAGATAAGAATTCCCCGATGGTCAGCACTAAGCGCTGCCCATGGACACCTGCAATTCCAGAGGAGTAGCAGGCGCATTGTCAGACTTTTAAAAAGGACTATGCACGTTTCGTGAAGTTCATGTCGCATCGAAGATGGCCATGTCGGACATGATCCTTGGAACGCATTGGATGGCTTAGTTACATATTTTTGTAGAACTTGCTTGTGTTTTTTTTTTTTGTGTGATAGGACTGCAAACGAGCACGCCAATTTACTTATGGTAAGCAATCAGCACCGCTCGCAACAACAGAGGCTCATGTATCTTATCAACGAAATCACAGGGAGTCATAAGATGGCTGTTCCTGGCTGACCGGTCTATAATATCTTTTATTTTACCCAAATGTAGCAGGAGAACTTTTGTGAATGCCTATGATTATAATGATATTGTTTCTATATATACGTAGCAGTATTAACAGTTATTGTATTATACGTTTATAAAGAAATTTTACAAATTGCTCAACATAGAGCCAGTTCATATACTTAATATGAACTGGCTCTGTCTCTGCCATAGCAGGGTCCAATCACAAAATGTTATATAAAATAATTAAAAATCGGAGCTGTTTATCAATATTATTTATTTCCACAATTTAGTGTTGGTTTTTGTTTACAATATTCACGACAATATGGTGAGCTTAAAGATTAAAGAACTAGGTTTATGAACGAGCATCAGTTGTATGATCATTTCCACCTGTATGTTTGAATAGTTGTATTCAAACCTCCACCGACACGAGATTTCAAAGTTATTTCTATGTAATTCTTCCCCAGTGGAGAACGAACTATCTCAGGAAGGTGACTGAAATGAGCAGTAATAGAGATCATACTGATTTCAACCCCGCTCTCAGCTCGATACACCTTGGTGAGGCTCTGTTCTTGGCCTTCGACAGCCGGCACGAAATCTTTCGATCTGAAAATAATATTCCAATGTTAGTTTATAAAACAACAAGTCTTTGTTCTTTGCCCAAAAGTTGCACATGTACTCAGTGGGTAAACAGAAAGAGAAATATATAATTTAAAAAACTTATCCCAAGATTATAACAATGAAAACTGTAAGAGCGGTAAGCAATGAAAGATTTATTCAGTCTTAATTTATTTTGTTACTTAGAAGTTAAGTAGATACTCACTCAGACAGTAGTGCAAAGTGCTCATATCTGGCATTAAAGTCAGCTCTGGATAGAACCATTCCGTTGGGTGACTTGTCGTCGAATACTATGGTGACTTGAGACATCTCCTTCTCGCTCGGGAGTACAGCCGCATCATAGCAGGCTGCGAGTGCTGACAGCACTACGATGACGATGAAGCTTTTCATCTACAACAATACGTCAACAGATCAGACTAAGTTATGAGAGAAAATGATTTTAAAATAAAATTATTAATGTGAAACAATCTTATTTGGCGCAAAGTACAGAATTAGTATTATTGTGAGCTTAAACTCAAAGTTACAATTCAGCTGTATCACTGTTTTTGTATCACTCACCTTTATTTCTTTATTTTCTCTTCAACCGTAAGAACGTATAACTCACAGCAGCGTGTGTGTAATGTGTTTGTAAGTTGTGTCTCCTACTGTTATATAGCAAGTTCCTTGATAAGATACATGAGCAGATGTTACCATATCTTCAGGAAAACTGTGTTCATTCTGATTTTAATCGATAGAATCCGGATTACAAGTGATTAGTAGATAGTAATGATGTGCCACAGTCTAATTATTTATATTTTATCATATAATGTAATCAGTATATAAGCGAGCATGCATTTTATGAATGGATAATAATTACTTAAAAAAAAATTAACCTTTATTTTGTGAAGTACTTGGAAAAGTTTTTAGTCATCTCTCTTGCTCTTTTCTGCTATTTTAATTCAGCAAGTAATGAGTAGTCACTAGATTTGGAAACGTCAGTACTTTAAATGATGAGAATTATATCTTGCTAAGTCTCTTAATCAGATTCTTTCTTTCTTTTTTTCATACCCATCTGTGTGAGAGGTGGCGTTTTCTCAGCAATTATACATATATGCAAAAGCTATAGATGGCGATAGTGATTATAGAGGGAACCGTTGCTGTAGAATTGATTGTAGTATTCACCATGTAATACCGAGCTCAAAGCTTAGCCGAAATTGACAGAGTATAGCGACCATGCTTCGAGTTTCAGCCACATTGGCTCTAGTGGGCCCCATCTGCAGTGGTCTGAGGGAGCTGTTTCTCCTTCTAACAGGATTTTGGTAACTTACGAATTTGTGAAATGGAATCTTTCAAATAAACTATAAAACAGACATTTTTTTTACAATTGGGTTGAAATTTCGTACATGTATTTAAATGCTATGCTGTATGATTTTAGTAGAAATCCACAACAATGACTGATAAAATTTACCGTGCTGATTAAAAGTTTTTATTTTGTCTGTACTTCTTTACGATTCGGGTGTAATTGAGTTGTAGTGGTTTTTATAAGTTAACCTTGCCAGAGGCGGCGTAAGGTGTGCGCGACGTGGACCATCGCCTACGGCTTCGCGGTACAGGGGGCCTCGCGCCTCAAGAATTTTTATCTTTCGCCTCCAGGTCGCTGCAGAAAAGGGCCTCGCAAAACCTGTCTTTCCCACATTAAAATTGGGTCTCGCCCCGCCACTGGCTATTGCCTAAACATTCGCTAAACGAGTGCCCATCCGCATCAGGACAAGACCTATGGTATAACACTCCCTTGATTTTGAACACTTTCTACCAGCTTACCTTGGTGTGCATAAATATCCTATTTAACCAATCTTCAATTTAATCTTTTCACTACGTTTTTAGTTACAGATTCTTCGAAGCTATCAGTCACTAGAGATTTGGCAATTGATATGCGAAAATAATTACTGATTAGCGGTTACTTGTATATATCATTAAATGGTGTGATTTCCTTATGAATGTTTAATCACAGATTACAAAGTCCAAGTTTGTAAAATTATTGGGAAAACTGTTTAAAAATAGGTATTACAGGCATTATTGTATTATCTTTCTATATTTAGTAATTATAATCTAGTGAATGAATGGAACGTGATGAACAATGTCTTATCGGATATTATTATAACTACTATATAGCAAAGTTCGTTACCGTGTATGTGCATACACTCGGATCTTTTACGCAACAGATTTATTATGGAACGAGACATGGACAATTTGACGTTGATTATTCTTTAGTCATTTAATTGTAAGTAAGTTGAGTATCTGTAGTGGTGGCCCAAAGGTTAAGGCTTCTCATGCATAAGGGTGCGGGTTCGAAACCTGGAAAGTACCAATGTGACTTTTTCCGAGTTATATGCAGTTTCTATGATAATTTAGACATCACCGACAAACGCCTTAAGCAAGCGTGGTGATTAATGCTTAAACCTGCTCCGTGTGAGAAGAGGCCTTTGCTCAGCAGTGGGCATTTATAGTCTGATGATGTAAGTCGAAAATAATATAAATGGAATGAATATAAAGTACTTAATGTCACCGGCACTCTCATCTCTGCATCATCAAATGGTTGATTATTGCCCAAAACATTCAGTCTGCCTGTACATATTTTTTTGTATTAAGAGTTGAAATAAATTAAAAAATACCCCTCTCGGACAGCGTTCAGCGATGAGCCAATCGAATCGTTGTCTATCCTGATGTTTCAATCCGGCTGGACCCTTTGACACTGCGTAGGGATGTAGCCTCGCTATGTTCTATATCGCCTATTCAAAGGGGAGTGCTCCGAGGAATTGTTCGCGAAAGCAATTGGTCACACGCGAAAGCATTATCATTCCCATTACAAAGGTAGTTGGCAGTCAACAACTGTGCGATTTTCGTGAAACTTTCTGTCTCTCACAGCAAATTTTGGAATCATCTTACGGCGGCGGTATTTTCGAACCTGTACGATCTTCAAACCTTCAAGAAACGCTCATAACTCTCTAAAAACCTTTTTAAAAGGCTGGCAATGCGTCTTTGGCTCTTCTGGTATTGTTGGTATCCAAGGGCAGCACTGATCATACCATCCACCTGATCCGTCTATACGTTTGCCTCCTATTTCACAAAAAAGAATACACGTCGGCAGACTGCAAGCAAGACATTTTAAAAAATTTGCTTTAGTGTATTTTAATTTCTGAGGTGTTATTGGTGCCATGTAAGTGACCCGTTTGCTTATTTGTCCCATGCCGCAGAACAAGAATATCTTGAAAATATCAGGCAAGGATATCGTGATTTCACAGCTTCATGTCTATCTCGAACGAACAGCATTGTTATCTAGTAAATCGATCACCCATTAATATCACCATCCTTTATTAGGTACTAGCCGCTCGCCCCTGCTTCGCATGGATATCCAACCGGTTGCAATATTCCGATTTCCCCCTCTTCTTTTCTGGAATTATCTTTCAGAAGAACCTTCCACTGACTATAATAAACACTACAAAAAAAAAAAAATTGGCAACATTCCGTCCAGGCGTTTTTGAATTTTGTGCTTACCAACTTATTTTGCGATTCATTTTTGTATTAAAGATAAGGATTCCCCGATGGTAAGCACTAAGCGCTGCCAATGGACACCTGCAATTCCAGAGGAGCAGCAGGCGCATTGCCAGCCTTTTAAAAAGGACTATGCACGTTTCGTGAAGGTCATGTCGCATCGAAGATGGCCATGTCATTTTTTAGTAGAATTTGCTTGTGTTTTTTTTGTGTGATAGGACAGCAAATGAGCAGGCCAATTACCTTATGGTAAGCAATCAGCACCGCTCGCAACAACAGATGCTCATGTATCTTATCAACGAAATCACAGGGAGTCATAAGATGGCTGTTCCTGGCTGACCGGTCTATAATATCTTTTATTTTACCCAAATGTAGCAGGAGAACTTTTGTGAATGCCTATGATTATAATGATATTGTTTCTATATATACGTAGCAGTATTAACAGTTATTGTATTATACATTTATAAAGAATTCTTACAAATTGCTCAACATAGAGCCAGTTCATATACTAAATATGAACTGGCTCTGTCTCTGCCATGGCAGGGTACAATCGCAAAATGTTATATAAAATTATTAAAAGTCGGAGCTGTTTATCAATATTATTTATTTTCACAATTTAGTGTTGGTTTTCGTTTACAATATTCATGACAATATGGTGAAATTACAGATAAAAGAACTAGGTTTATGAACGAGCATCAGTTCTATGATCATTTCCACCTGTATGTTTGAATAGTTGTATTCAAACCTCCACCGACACGAGATTTCAAAGTTATTTCTATGTAATTCTTCCCCAGGGGAGAACGAACTATCTCAGGAAGGTGACTGAAATGAGCAGTTATAGAGATCATACTGATTTCAACCCCGCTCTCAGCTCGATACACCTTGGTGAGGCTCTGTTCTTGGCCTTCGACAGCCGGCACGAAATCTTTCGATCTGAAAATAATATTCCAATGTTAGTTTATAAAACAACAAGTCTTTGTTCTTTGCCCAAAAGTTGCACATGTACTCAGTGGGTAAACAGAAAGAGAAATAATTTAAAAAACTTATTCCAAGATTATAACAATGAAAACTGTAAGAGCGGTAAGCAATGAAAGATTTATTCAGTCTTAATTTATTTTGTTACTTAGAAGTTAAGTAGATACTCACTCAGACAGTAGTACAAAGTGCTCATATCTGGCATTAAAATCAGCTCTAGATAGAACCATTCCGTTGGGTGACTTGTCGTCGAATACTATGGTGACTTGAGACATCTCCTCGCTCGGGAGGACAGCGGCATCATAGCAGGCTACGAGGGCTGACAGCACTACGATAATCATGAAGCTCTTCATCTACAACAATACGGCGACAGATTAGACTAAGTTATGAGGGAGAATGTTGTATTCATGTTAATTTTTAAAATAAAATTAAGATGTTTAATGTAAAAAAATCTTATTTAGCGCCGAGTACAGAATTAATATTCTCGTTAGCTCAAACTCAAAGTTACAAATCATTGCAGCTATGTCACTATTTTTGTTATCACTCACCTTTATTTCTTTATTTTCTCTTGAACCGTAAGAATGTATAGCTCACAGCAGAGTGTGTGTAATGTGCTTGTAAGTTGTGTCTCCGACTGTTATATAGCAAGTTCCTTGATAAGATACATGAGCAGATGTTACCATATCTTCAGGAAAACTGTGTTCATTCTGATTTTAATCGATAGTATCCGGATAACAAGTGATTAGTAGATAGTAATGATGTGCCACAGTCTAATTATTTATATTTTATCATATAATGTAATCAGTTTATAAGCGAGCATGCATTTTATGAATGGCTAATAGTTACTTGAATAAAAATTAACCTTTATTTTGTGAAGTACTTGGAACAGGTTTTAGTCATCTCTCTTGCTCTTTTCTGCTATTTTAATTCAGCAAGTAATGAGTTGTCACTAGATTTGGAAACGTCAGTACTTTAAATGATGAGAATTATATCTTGTTAAGTCTCTTAATCAGATTCTTTCTTTCTTTTTTTCATACCCATCTGTGTGAGAGGTGGCGTTTTCTCCGCAATTATACATATATGCAGAAGCTATAGATGGAGATAGTGATGATTGAGGGAACCGTTGCTGTAGAATTGATTGTAGTATTCACCATGTAATACCGTGCTCAAAGCTTAGCCGAAATTGACAGAGTATAGCGACCATGCTTCGCGTTTCAGCCACATTGGCTCTAGTGGGCCTCATCTGCAGTGGTCTAAGGGAGCTGTTTCTCATTGTAACAGGATTTTGGTAACTTACAATTTGTGAAATGGAATCTTTCAATTTGGTTAAAATTTTGTACAGATATTTTAGATGCTATATTGAATAATTTTACTAGAAATCCACACACGTGACAAAACAGACCCAACTGATAAAAAGTTTTTATTGTGTCTGCTCTTAATATTCGGGCTAAATTGAGTTGTAGTGGTTTTATAAGTAAAAACGGTTGCCAGAAGCGGCGTAAGGTGTGCGCCACGTTTACCGCCTATAGCCTAACAGTACAATGGGCCTGGTTCAGGTCGCCGAAAAAGGCTTCGCAAAATCTGTCTTGCCCACATTAAAATTAGGTCTTGCCCCGCCACTGGCTGTTGCCTGAACATTCGCTAAACGAGTGCCCATCCGCATAAGGACAAGACTTAATGGTGATTCGAAGAATTCAAAGAAACATTTTGCAAGGACACTCCTTTCATTCCGAACCCTTTAAACCAGCTTACCTTGTTATGCATAAATATCCAATTTATCCAATCCTCAATTTAATCTTTTCACGAGTCATTTGGCAATTGATATACAAAAATAATTACTGATTAATGTTTATTTGTGTATCAATAAATGTTGTGATTTCCTTATAGATGTTTTATCACTGATTACAAAGTCCAACTTTGTTAAATTACTGGGAAAGCGGTCCAAAAATAGGCATTACAGGCATCATTGTATTATCTTTCTATATTTTTCGGATATTATTATAACTACTATATAGCAAAGTTCGTTACCGTGTATGTGCCTACGCTCGGATCTTGTAAAATAAGCAACAGATTTAATATGGAACGCGACATGGACCATTACACGTTGAATATTCTTTAATCATTTAATTGTAAGTAAGTTGAGTATCTGTAGTGGTGGCCCAAAGGTTACGGCTTCTCATGCATAAGGGTGTGGTTCGAAACCTGGAAAGTACCAATGTGACTTTTTCCGAGTTATATGCATTTTCTATGATAATTTAGACATCACCGACAAACGCCTTAAGCAAGCGTGGTGATTAATGCTTAAACCTGCTCCGTGTGAGAAGAGGCCTTTGCTCAGCAGTGGGCATTTATAGTCTGATGATGTAAGTCGAAAATAATATAAATGGAATGAATATAAAGTACTTAATGTCACCGGCACTCTCATCTCTGCATCATCAAATGGTTGATTATTGCCCAAAACATTCAGTCTGCCTGTACATATTTTTTTGTATTACGAGTTGAAATAAATTAAAAAATACCCCTCTCGGACAGCGTTCAGCGATGAGCCAATCGAATCGTTGTCTACCCTGATGTTTCAATCCGGCTGGTCTCTTTGACATTGCGTAGGGATGTAGCCTCGCTATGTGTTCTATATCGCCTGTGCCAAGTGCTCCGAAGAATTGTTCGCAAAAGGAATTGATCACACGCGAAAGCATTATCTTTCCCATTACAAAGGTAGTTGGAAGTCAACAACTGTGCGATTTTCGTGAAACTTTCTATTTCTCACAGCAAAATATTGGAATCATCTTACGGCGGTGGTATTTCCGAATCGATACGATCATCAAACCTTCAAGAAACGTGCATAACTCATTAAACACCTTTTTAAAAGGCTGGCAATGCGTCTGTGGCTCCTCTGGTATTGCTGGTATCCAAGGGCAGCACAGATCATACCATCCACCTGATCCGTCTATACGTTTGCCTCCTATTTCACAAAAAAGGATACACTTCGGCAGACTGCAAGCAAGACATTTTAAAAAATTTGCTTTAGTGTATTTTAATTTCTGAGGTGTTATTGGTGCCATGTAAGTGACCCGTTTGCTTATTTGTCCCATGCCGCAGAACAAGAATATCTTGAAAATATCAGGCAAGGATATCGTGATTTCACAGCTTCATGTCTATCTCGAACGAACAGCATTGTTATCTAGTAAATCGATCACCCATTAATATCACCATCCTTTATTAGGTACTAGCCGCTCGCCCCTGCTTCGCATGGATATCCAACCGGTTGCAATATACCGATTTCCCCCTTTTCTTTTCTAGAATTATCTTTCAGAAGAACCTTACCCTGACTACAATAAACACTACAAAAAAAATTGGCAACATTGGTCCAGGCGTTTTTGAATTTTGTGCTTACCAACTTATTTTGCGATTCATTTTTGTATTATAAATAAGGATTCCCCGATGGTAAGCACTAAGCGCTGCCAGCCTTTTAAAAAGGACTATGCACGTTTCGTGAAGGTCATGTCGCATCGAAGATGGCCATGTCATTTTTTAGTAGAATTTGCTTGTGTTTTTTTTGTGTGATAGGACAGCAAATGAGCAGGCCAATTACCTTATGGTAAGCAATCAGCACCGCTCGCAACAACAGATGCTCATGTATCTTATCAACGAAATCACCGGGAGTCAAAAGATGGTTGTTCCTGGTTGACCGGTTTATAATGTCTTTTAATTTACCCAAATGTAGCAGGAGAACTTTTGTGAATGCCTATGATTATAATGATATTGTTTCTATATATACGTAGCAGTATTAACAGTTATTGTATTATACATTTATAAAGAAATCTTGCAAAGTGCTCAACATAGAGCCAGTTCACATATGAACTGGCTCTGTCTCTGCCATGGCAGGGTACAATCGCAAAATGTTATATAAAAAAAATTAAAGTCGGAGCCTTTTATCAATATTATTTATTTCCATAATTTAGTGTTGGTTTTCGTTTACAATATTCACGACAATATGGTGAGATTACAGATTAAAGAACTAGGTTTATGAACGAGCATCAGTTGTATGATCATTTCCACCTGTATGTTTGAATAGTTGTATTCAAACCTCCACCGACACGAGATTTCAAAGTTATTTCTATGTAATTCTTCCCCAGTGGAGAACGAACTATCTCAGGAAGGTGACTGAAATGAGCAGTAATAGAGATCATACTGATTTCAACCCCGCTCTCAGCTCGATACACCTTGGTGAGGCTCTGATCTTGGCCTTCGACAGCCGGCACGAAATCTTTCGATCTGAAAATAATATTCCAATGTTAGTTTATAAAACAACAAGTCTTTGTTCTTTGCCCAAAAGTTGCACATGTACTCAGTGGGTAAACAGAAAGAGAAATAATTTAAAAAACTTATTCCAAGATTATAACAATGAAAACTGTAAGAGCGGTAAGCAATTAATGATTTATTCAGTCTTAATTTATTTTGTTACTTAGAAGTTAAGTAGATACTCACTCAGACAGTAGTACAAAGTGCTCATATCTGGCATTAAAATCAGCTCTAGATAGAACCATTCCGTTGGGTGACTTGTCGTCGAATACTATGGTGACTTGAGACATCTCCTCGCTCGGGAGGACAGCGGCATCATAGCAGGCTACGAGGGCTGACAGCACTACGATGATCATGAAGCTCTTCATCTACAACAATACGGCGACAGATTAGACTAAGTTATGAGGGAGAATGTTGTATTCATGTTAATTTTTAAAATAAAATTAAGATGTTTAATGTAAAAAAATCTTATTTAGCGCCGAGTACAGAATTAATATTCTCGTTAGCTCAAACTCAAAGTTACAAATCATTTCAGCTATGTCACTCACCTTTATTTCTTTATTTTCTCTTCAACCGTAAGAACGTATAACTCACAGCAGAGTGTGTGTAATGTGTTTGCAAGTTGTGTCTCCTACTGTTATATAGCAAGTTCCTTGATAAGATACATGAGCAGATGTTACCATATCTTCAGGATAACTGTGTTCATTCTGATTTTAATCGATATCATCCGGATTTGAAGTGATTAGTAGATAGTAATAATGAACTGTAATAAAGTTGACTCATCGCAATCTGATTCTTCAGATTATATACTTAGCTGTAATTTGCTTAACTAATAAGTAGAGAAGTCCCATACTCCAGTAAGACCCACTTGGGACAGCTTGATCAAATATCAAGGAGTTAAAGAAAACCACTTTAAAGTAATTCTTGCATTGTATTTTACCGTGTTTGTGAATTTACCGGAGGCCTGTCTTCCTCTTCCCTACCTCCTATTCCCAATACTTACCCCAAAGAATGCAATTCTGTTACTTGTATTTCTGGGCTTACGGATATCCTTGGCTTGCTTATTATCAGGTGATCTACTGGCTCTTCTTTGCCAATTTCACTCAAAAATAACAAAAAAGTACGGTAGATGATTGAACTCTTTACTAGATTCAGCTAAATTTCATTTCTTCATCACTTAATTTTCAGCTTTTCAATGTTTTGTTCATTTCAGCAGAGTTGGATGAGTCTTACAGTCGTCTTTTATGTTACAGTCTACATCATATTTTTATTAACCCGCTGATAAAAGAACAGTGGTTGGATTTGGCTGGTTCAAATTATATGAAGCACATGAAGTGAACTGCTAGAATTTTATATAGGAGCTTTGGTCCCAATTTTCGCTCCTATCAGTAGGTGAACCATTTAAAATACGAGGTCATGTAGCAGTTCTAAACTTTAATATTTTTTTTTATTTACCTATAATAACGGCTTACTTATGTGAATTTGGTTTCGCGACGTTCGCGTTGCAGCGACGCGCACTCTGCTCCTGAAGATGTCCCGTTGTAACTACTTCTAAATAATTTTGCGTTTGCCAGTTGATTCACGTGATTAAGTCCCTATTTTAGTCACTAAAAACATTAATTGGTAATTTATTCAGAACTGCTACATGAAACCGAATATTTCTGTGTCTCACGATAGTTACCATTCAAAAACATTTACACTTTGAATGATAACCTCATTCACACGAAACAACTAAATTGTTACATTCACGGTTTTCTGTTAGGCTTTTGTATTAATCCACTTGAACACGCCCATTTTCTATTCATTCCATTAATTTTACTGATATACTGTTAAATGTGACGAGAAATGTGACATCTTATTGTGGAGGCCACGTTCAATATTTAATTTATTGCTCAGTTTAATATATCCTAACATACATACACACAGGAGCAATTTTTACTAAACACGAGTATTAGTTATATTGATAAGACATTATCATAATATTTGATTTCATTCACTAGATTATAATTAGTAAATATAGACAGATAACAATAATGCCTGTAATACCTATTTTTGAACCGCTTTCCCAGTATTTTAATAAAGTTGGACTTTGTAATTAGTGATAAAACATCCATAAGGAAATCACCAGATTTATTGGTAACCAAATATACATACGTTAATCAGTAATTGTTGTCGCCAAATAATTTCTAAATCTCTTCCGTTACTGGTGACCGATAAATTCAATAACTTCATAGTTACTGAGTAAAAAGATTATCTTGAAGATTAGGTAAGTAGGAATTTTATGACAAAGTAAACAATGTTTTTTATTGTATAAGTCGGCAAACGAGCAGACGGATTACCTGATGGTAAGCAATCGCCCATGGACCCCTTAACACCAAAGGAGTTACGAGAGCGTTGCCGGCCTTTTGAGGATAGGGGTTACGGATATAAGGATCGGGAAGGAATGCGGCGTTAGTTTTTACAATTTTTGTTTTCTTGGAGTGCGCTTGGCCTTCATCTGCTGTTACTGCAGTTAATTTTGAAGCAAAACTTCCTTCATTTATAATTAACATAATCTTTAGCTTGGGAGTGTCATTGCTGAGAAGAGGCCTGTTTTCATACGAGTAAGAGTGAAATTAATTGTACTTGGTTGCTTTGGTAAAAAGCGGATAAGAGAAAGGCAGATAATCAAATACTTATCCATGTACGTAATAAGTTCAGCCAGGGTTGAGGGACAACCGCAATAAGTCACCAAGTCTGACAATTCCTCCCGCCCAACTCTGGGCGGGAGAAGTCTTTTGACGATTTTCCATTTTTTGTTTAATATTTTTATTATAAAAGGTCTTTACCTATGAAATTGCCGGTCTGCAGTACTGGCCATTTCAAATCAAAATAGTTTTTGTTTGGCTAAGAATTCTCTAATTTCAAATTAATTTTGTGTTAAAAACATGGGATTCTTTTTCCAAAAGTAGTCACTTGTTTATTGATTAGTGTTACATTTACATCGCATTTCAATCTGTTTCGCCATCACGGATACGTTAAAAATTCGAGTAATTATGGAATATGAGTTCCGTCGTGGCAGCAACGCGGCACAAGCGGCACGCAACATCAACGACGTTTATGGAGCTAACTCAAACCAACGCACCACCTGTTATTCGTATGCTCGCTTCCGTTCTGGGAATTTCGACTTGAAAAATGAACCTCGCGGTCATCTGAAGACTTTGGTTGACAATGACAAATTAAAGGCGATTGTCGAAGCTGATGATACACAATTTACGGCTGAATTAGCAGCAGCTTTCGACGTTAGAGTCAAAACAATATTGGTCCATTTGCGTCAAATTTTCAAGGTAAAAAAACTTAACAAGTGGGTGCCCCACGAACTCAATGATCGCCAGCGCGAAGTACGCGTCGAGACGTGCCTTGCACTGCTCAACAGACACACAAATGAAGGAATTTTGAACAGCATTGTTACCTGCGATGAAAAATGAATTCTGTTTGATAACCGTAAGCGCTCAGCGAGGTGGTTGGATCCTGGTTCACCACCTAAGCAATGCCCTAAACGAAAACTTACCCCTAGAAAAGTGATGGTCACTGTTTGGTAGTTTAGCGCCGGTGTGATTCATCACAGCTTCTTGCCAAACGGGATGAGCATTACTGCAGATGTATACTGTGAAGAATTGAACACAATGATGGAGAAGCTGGCACATTTCCAACCCGCATTGGTCAATCGCTCTTCTCCACTGCTCCTGCACGACAACGCGCGACCTCATACTGCACAACAGATGGTCTCCAAGTTGCAAGACCTGGGGCTGGAAGTTCTCCGTCATCCACCCTACTCACCAGACATTGCGCCTACAGACTACCACTTTTTCTAGAATTTGGATAACTTCCTGGCCAGAAAAAAAATTAAATACCCGAGAGGCAGTACCTAATGCCTTTGAAGAATTTGTTGCTTCCCGTCCAGCTGATTTCTTTAAAAAGGGCATCAATAAACTGCCACTACGTTGGCAAAGATTCATTAATTGCATGGGTGATTACTTCGATTAAAACAAATAAAAAATACATGACAAAAATTCGTTTAAATTTTTTCATGCATAAGGGTAATTTCATAGATAAAAACCTAATATTATTAACCATGCATAAAATAATTTCTCGCGTTAATGTTTTCATGCCATCAATGCTCGGAGTGCGGGACATCACTACTAGCATCGTGAAAGTAGCTGACAAAGTCGACTCAATAATAATGTTAGTGTTGGTGGGGGTTCGTGTCGGATAGTACGAATAGTATAACTAAGCTTACAAATAAGCAACATGCATATTCTCATATTTCTTTGTTCATTCCAATTTCCAATTTTATTTCTGACATAGTTTCTAAGATTTTGTACATCTTACTAAATATGGAAATCTGTCCAAAATATTTTTTTATTATATGTGGATTATTTTATATCATAAAATATGAATAATTATATTGTTGTACATCATTACTATCTACTAATTAATATTAATCCGGATGCTATCGATTAAAATCAGAATGAACACAGTTTTCCTGAAGATATGGTAACATCTGCTCATGTTTCTTATCAAGGAACTTGCTATATAACAGTCGGAGACAGAACTTACAAGCACATTACACACACTCTGCTGTAAATAATACGTTCTTACGGTTGAAGAAAAAATAAAGAAATAAAGGTAGGTGATACAAAAATAATGACATGGCTGAAATAATTAAATTTGAAGCAACGATTATATTTATTAAGTGTTTGGCTAAATTAACTTTTTAGAAATTAATTGCTTCAAAATATTCTCTCTCATCACTAAGTCTGATCTGTCGTCGTATTGTTGTAGATGAAGAGCTTCATGATCATCGTAGTGCTGTCAGCACTCGCAGTCTGCTATGATGCCGCTGTCCTCCCGAGCGAGGAGAAGATGTCTCAAGTCACCATAGTATTCGACGACAAGTCACCCAACGGAATGGTTCTATCCAGAGCTGACTTTAATGCCAGATATGAGCACTTTGTACTGCTGTCTGAGTAAGTATCCGCTTAACTTCTAAGTAACAAAATAAATCGAGACTAAAATAAATCTATCATTGCTTAGCGCTCTCACAGTTTATAATTATTATTATAACCCAAACAACATCTCACTTACTACATTGTTGGGTGGTAAGAAATTTACCATCGGCAACAAGGTATTGTTGAGTCAGATTCTTAGTCCAACGTGGGCAAGTTTTGGGAAAGTAAAAATGATTTTTGTTTTAGAAATTTAATTAGAATATTATTTTCAGATCGAAAGATTTCGTGCCGGCGGTCGAAGGCCAAGAGCAGAGCCTCACCAAGGTGTATCGAGCTGAGAGCGGGGTCGAAATCAGCATGATCTCTATAACTGCTCATTTCAGTCACCTTCCTGAGATAGTTCGTTCTCCACTGGGGAAGAATTATTTAGAAATCACTTTGAAACCTCGTGTCGGTGAAGGTTTGAATACAACTATTCAAACATACAGGTGGAAATGATCATAGAACTGATGGTGGTTTATATAGGTATATTGTTGCACTCTTCATGAATACTCTTACTTTGCATGAATATTGTTAACTGAAAACCACATTTAAATGTGTAAATAAATGATATTGATAAAAAGCTCCATCTTTTAATCATTATTTTGTTACGTGTTGTGAGTGTTCTCAGTCGTTTCCATGAATTCTTTGAACTTAACTATATTAAAAATTTCGGGTAGACTGAATACCCGAAATTTCAA